GTGGTGGGCTTGGCAGTGCTGGGTTAACGGTTGGACTCGATGATCTTAAGGGTCTTTTCCAACCTTAACGATTCTGTGAGTCTATGATTCTAAGATCCCAGCCTTCCCAGGTGGGAGGGCCTGTCAGAGAAGATGTGGTGGATGGGGTTTAGGGCTTCAGTGGGGAGCAGTGTCTGCAGGGACCAGTCCCTCCTGCCGCATGTGGGGCTGCTCCGGCAGACTGGACATGGCTGATTTTGGATCTTTCCTTCTGCTCACCGAGATACTTTGGATCCTGCTCCTTTTGTTCGCTCCCCAGTTCGTTTGCAGTGCTTTTCAGCTCAAGGTCTGCCGCAACGTTACAGGCCCCCGCTGTGCCCATCATTTAAGTTATTAGCAAAAATGCCAGCTGCATTCAGGCCCAGAAGAGATGCCTTTGAGGTTCGTTGTTGTCCTCCAGTTCTGGTATTAGGAAATGCTTTAGGAGCGTTAGGAGAGCCGCCTGCGGAGGGCAGCCACCAAGGTTGTGTCCACCGGACAGTGATTTTGCCTGGATGGAAGTGTCCCGGGCTGAAAGCCTCACTGGGGCCGAGGTTTCGCTCACATTGCCCCCCTCTCCCAGGAGGTTGCTCTCCTCTGAGGGAGGAGATGAGAGGAGTGCGATGGGGCAGCTCTGGACAGATCTGTGTTGGGCTGTTCCTCATTTCTCAGTGGTATCAAGTGATGCAAAAGCACCAAAAAAATCTGTTCTAACGTCAGTACCCAGGCAGCTGACTTTTTTGTGCTTTTAACCTCACAAGTAAAGGCTCTCGCCCCAAAGGCCGGTGCCCAGCAGCTGAGCTCTCCCGTTACAGGTGAAGGTGGTGGGAGGGAGCTCCTGCCCTGCCGTGTCTCTGCCGGCTTCGGAGATGCCTCCGGCCCGGCCATCTCCCCCAGCTGCACCTGGGACACCATGGCTGTGCTGAGGGCGGACCCAGACTCCCCTTTGTCTCCGCAGTGTCTGAAGAGATGGACAGAAGCACTTTGACCCCCACCACCACCATCAAACCTTCGGACAAGATGACCATCAACCACCTGGTGGAGCGAGCCTGCTGCCGCGACTACCAGCGGATGGGGCTGGGCACCCTCAGCAGCAGCCTCACTCGCTCCAAGAACGAGCCCTTCCGCATCTCCACCGTGAACCGCATGTACGCCATTTGCCGGAGGTGAGCCTCAGCTGAGGAGGGGGGTCCGCAGGGTCGGGAGAGGACAGCGGGGGTCTTCCCTGCTTTGTGGGAGCTGGGGGGGGCCGTGCTGCCCCCCACTGGGCTCTGCAGAGTCTCTGCTCTCTCCTGCAGCTACCCCGGCCTGCTCATCGTGCCACAGAGCATCCAGGACAACACGATCCAGCGGATCTCCCGCTGCTACCGCCAGAACCGCTTCCCCGTGGTGTGCTGGCGAAACTCCCGCACCAAGGCCGTGCTGCTGCGCTCGGGGGGGCTGCACGGCAAGGGCGTTGTGGGCCTCTTCAAGTCCCAGAATGCCCCCACCGCAGGTGCCCATCCCCTCCACCCCTGCGCAGCGCCTGTGCCGGGAGCGGGCTGCAGACCCCTCCTCGGGTCTCGTGCTGGTGGCGGAGTGGTGATGCTCGTGGCTTTCCTCCTAGGCCCCTCGCAGACAGACTCCACCAGTTTGGAGCAGGAGAAATACCTGCAGGCCGTGATCAACTCCATGCCGCACTACGCCGATGCCAGCGGGCGCAACACGCTCAGTGGCTTCACCTCCGCGCACATGAGCAGCTCAGGTGAGGAGCTCGGTCACGGGCTGCAGCGCAGCGGGGACGCAGGAGGGCTCATGCTCGTGTGTGCGGGGCCCCAGCCGTGAGTCGTGCTGTCCGTCCCAGAGCCCGGGCAGCCAGGTGAGCCGCTGTGCCTGGCCTCCCACATCAGAGGAGGCAGCAGAGCCTTCCCAGCGTGCTTTCCAGAGCTCTCAGCGCTGGCTGGGCCTCCGTGGCTGGTGGTGGGGATGGGTTTTGGGAAACCTAGTGGCCCTGGACCTGCGAGCACTGGGAGCCCCAGAGGCGCTCGCTGAGGACCAGTGGGGACAGACCCCGCTAGCTGAGATCTCGGCACCGATTGCACCCCAGCGCAGCGGGCAGCGGTGCTCGGGGTCTGTTGTGGGAAGCCTCGGTAAGTCTCTGCCTCCATTGCTCTCCGAGCAGCCTGCCCTTCGCTGCCCCGCCACGCTCTGTGTCATTCATCCTCTGTCCCAGCCATTCCACCCCATCATTGCTGCAGAAGCGACCGGGGGCCAGAGGGGGAAGCCAGCCAGGGGCCCCCTGCAGCTGGGGGAGGAGAGGACTTGCCAAAAGCCCGTCCGAGGCCTCTCCCTGGTGTGGGGGGACATGCCCGGAGCCGCGGCCGAAGGAGGGAGGCTCAGACCAGCGGTGGGGGGCAGAGGAGTGACCTGGTGTGGTGGCGAGAGAGCCACAGGGCAGGGGGCTGCCGGGCTGCGGCAGCGCCTGGGTGATCCCCCCACGGTGCGAAGCGCTCGGGGCAGGGCCGGGGCAGAGCTGCGGGAGGGTCGAGCCCCCGCTCGCGCTGCTGCACCAGCTGCCTCTCTGCTGTGGCTCCAGCTGGAAGGTGTTTCCTGCATGCTGGCTGCCTGGTCCCGGCCCCGGGTGCTCCTGCTTGCTGCCGCTTTCTCTCTCTGGCTTCTTCCCCTCCCTCCCGAGCAGTTGTGGGGAGGCAAGGTGGGAGGGCCCCTCTGGAGCAGCACAGCAAGGCCGAGAGCTGACGTTTTGTTGGTGCTACAGATTTCTCCGACAAGAGACAGCCTAAGCTGGGATCGCTCATGAAGCAGGTGATGGGAGGGAAGGACGATGGGCCCGGTACTATTAGCCGCGGAGGTGAGGACATGCGAGTGAACGCTGCCTCGTGGGGGCCTCGCGAAGGCCCCCGGCTCAGGGCAGCTGTTGTAGCGTAGATGCTTCCCCTTTGCTCCTCCCAAGCTCTCTGCCGTGGGGCAGCTGCAGGGAGGGAGGGAGGGACCTGCTGCAGCACCCGGAGCCATCTCATTCATCCCACTCATTGCTCCAACTGCTCCGTCCGGGTCCCCGGGTGCCTCTTCCCGCCCGGCCCGTGTTCACCCGGTGAAAGCGTGGGCCCGCCTCGCCCCGGTGCCCTCGCTGAGGTTGCTTTCGTCCTGTGCTCTCAGGGCTCGGCCACAGAGCTAGGGTCATCACTCTCTCCACCCCCAAGTGTGTGTCGGCGAAGGGCCGCGAGATGCCCCGAGGTACGGTACTGCCGGCCGGCTAACCACCACCCGGGTGCTAACCTGACCGACTGACCCCCCACAGACACACTCCCACCCTTCACACGACTAATGCCCCAGTAACACCCCACCTCAGCCCGCTAACGCCTCCACTGAGCATGTCGCTGGCTTGGCCCAGCCCGCGGTGCCAGCGGTAAGTACCGGGCCTGTCCCCAGCTGATCCCGCAGCGTCCTCTCAGGTTTGCTTTAGGCTCCTTGCACATCTGCTGGTGCTTGGGTGGTGGTGGCCAGGGACGGGGGCTGGCAGGGAAGGGGTCCTGGCGGCGCAGGTGCTGGGGCAGGAGCAGGGTGCGGCTGCACAGGTGATGGGACGCGGAGCCACCGGGGTTGGTGTCTGTATCTACCGGGCAGGAAATCGTACAGCACCGAGCAAGGAGAAGGAGCAAAAGCAAACCTGGTTCCCAGCATCTTCCCAGCATGTGCTCCCAGGGCGCTGGGCTGCAGGGTGGTGGCAGCTCGGCTGCCGCTTTCGTGGCGAGCTGCTCGCCCCCGTGCCAGCCCGGCTGGGGGGACGCAGACGCCAGCGCAGCCCACGAGCCAGCCGGGGACCCCCAGCCTGACTGCTGCCTGTCTTGCAGGCAAGTGGGGCAGCATCCGAGCCAGCGGGCGCATGAGCAGCTACGCCCTGAACATGGAGATCGGGTCGCGCCTGGCGGGGAAAGACCTGCTGGGTGCCCAGCACAACGGCACCCCCTCGGAGGCCAGCTTCCTGCGCCAGCACCGCGCCTCGCTCTACATCATCGGGGACAAGTCGCAGCTGAAGGTAACCCCGACGCCTGGCAGCGGCCGCCTCGGGGGGGGGGGGACGGACACAGGGGTGGCGGTGGGTCTGCTCGGGGCATCTCTGGACGGGGCTGATGCTCTGCTCCCTCAGGGGGTGAAACCAGACCCGCTGCAGCACTGGGAGGTGGTTCCCATCGAGGTGTTCGACGTGCGGCAGGGGAAGGCCAGCTTCAAGAAGCTGATGAAGGCCTGCGTGCCCGGCTGCCCCTCCAGTGACCCCAGCGTCACCTACCTGCGGTCCCTGGAGGAGTCTGAGTGGCTGTCCCAGGTCAGTTCTCGCCCAAAGCCTGGAGGGGCCCTGCTCCGTCCCCACGGCACGAGTCTTTACTGTTGGCTGTTGCTCAAGGGCACATGCTCTTACCTCCTGGCAAAGTGAGGATGGGGGTCCAGGTGCCCTCTCCAGAACATCACTCTGGCATGGAGTGGGGGACACTAAGGGAGCAAGGTACAGATAAGAGGAACAAGGATAAAATAGCCCAGAGCACTGCTCGGCAGCTCTGGATGTGAGAGCTGCAAGTGTCCGGGGCGGCTGCTGGCTGGGGAGGCAGGGCAGGACCTGCAGGACAGCAGAACGCTATGAAGGGGTTGGTACAAGGCAGTGCCTGCAGTAGCCAGGGTGACCCCGGCGGCTGCGGCTCTGCAGGACCGGTCCCACTGCGGAGCTGCTGCGGGACCGGACCCTCTGGCTGCTGGAGGGAGCGAGGGACGCGTGGCTCTGCGAGGGACCCACGGCTCTGCTCGTGGTGTGGTGGTTCTGCCCCGCTGGCTTTGCTGTTGTAGACGAAGGGTGCTGCACAGTGTCTGAACACAGGGTCGTGTGTCGTGGCCCTGCATAATCCCCCCCCGTGCTCTGCTTCGTTTGGCTCTCCCGCTTCCAGGAGAAAGGGTCGCTTTGCACAATGTCCAGCAACTGAGTTTCCTGCACCCTAGTAACTCTTGGCCTTACGTTGCCAGATCCATAAGATCCTGCAGATTTCGGTGTTGGTGGTGGAGCTCCTGGACACGGGCTCCTCTGTGCTGGTCAGCCTGGAGGACGGCTGGGACATCACCACACAGGTAGGCGCCCTACAGCCGCCGAAACGTGACAGTGGCCCGTGGCCGTCTCCCCACGAGCATCCCGAGCCCCCCTGTCCCTGCAGGTGGTCTCCTTGGTGCAGCTGCTGTCGGACCCCTACTACCGGACGCTGGAGGGCTTCCGCCTGCTCGTGGAGAAGGAGTGGCTGTCCTTCGGGCACCGCTTCAGCCACCGCGGGGCCCAGACCCTGGCTGGCCAGAGCAGCGGTTTTGCCCCCATCTTCCTGCAGTTCCTGGACTGCGTACATCAGGTGAGCCCTGAGCGCGCCGGCTGCCGGCTCTGCACCGGCCGGCGCTCCCCCAGCAGCGGGGCTGGCAGGCTCCTTGTGCCACGGGGAACAAGTTCAAAGCCAGCCTGCAGTTTGTGGGTCCCGGGAGGTCTCACCCATGCTGCTCCTTGCAGATCCACCTGCAGTTCCCCATGGAGTTCGAGTTCAGCCAGTACTACCTGAAGTTCCTCAGCTACCACTACGTTTCCAACCGTTTCCGCACGTTTCTGCTGGACTCTGACTACGAGCGCATCGAGCTGGGTGAGGGCAGCGTGCGGGGCCCGCAGCGGATGGCAGCCCAGCGCCTTGCTCCAAATAATGCCCCTTCCCCGCTCTCTTCTCCACAGGCCTCCTTTACGAGGAGAAGGGCGAGCGGAAGAGCCAGCAGGTCTACAAGTCCATCTGGGATTACATCGACCGGCTGAACAAGAAAGCCCCCATCTTCTTCAACTACATGTATGCCCCCGAGGATGGGGAGGTGAGAGCTCGGCTCCTGCCCTGGGTCAGCCCAGCCCGAGCTCCCGCATGCTGCAGAGGGCTCAGACGGAGCTTTCCAGGGGCACCCTGGGGTCTCCTCGCCCACATGGAGCCGAGCGAGCAGCCCCGTGTCGGCTGGACCGTGGCGTTTGCCTGGCTGCCGCACCGGGGCCCTGGGGAGGGTGCCTGCCGCCTCGGGGGTCACGAGCAGAGTCAGGCCCCTGAGAGCTGTGTCCCTGCGGAGGAGTCGGGGGGACGCAGGCGAGGCTGCCGAGGGCTGGGGCGGGGGGGATGTCCTGAGCTGGAGCTGTTGGGGTCTCGTTTTGGGCTCTTCACCACAAGCTGGGAACGTCCTTCCTCGGGGAGAGAAAGCGGCAGCTTCTGGTGCGTGGCCTCAGCAGGTCGGCAGCGCGGGGGGCTGCTCTCTGCCGTGCGGCCAGGCTGCAGCTGCGCTGCTCCGTGCTCTCGTTTGGTCTGGGCTCTGTCTTGGCCAAAGCTGGGAGCAGCTCTGCCTTTCTCTGGCCCAGCATTGCCTTTTCCTGGCCAGGCCGCAGCCTTCCTCAGCTGCCTCCTGTTACCGGGCAGAAAGCATCGCCCTTGGGGAAAGCGTGTTGTGAAGGGACTGATTTCCCCTCTGGACAGATTGTCCCTGCAGCACGGCCAGGGACATGGCCTGCCTGGATGCTGCTGCCCTTCCTGAGCATAACCCCGCTTCTTCCGCAGGTGCTGAGGCCGTACAGCAACATTTCCAACCTGAAGGTATGGGACTACTATACGGAGGAGACGCTTTCCGAGGGCCCCTCCTATGACTGGGAGCTGACGCAGGGGCAGCCGGAGCACGTGGAGGAGGCGGATCGGCAGGACACCAGTGCCCCCCAGACGAAGCGCAAGATCATCTGGCCGTGCTACGACAACCGCAGCCGCGTGGAGCCCGACGCCATCTCCAAGTTGCTGGAGGTGAGCGCGGCTGGCAGCAGCATCATCTACGCGTTGCTTTTGGGTTTGGCCCTGGCCTGGACTCGCCGTGGTGTCCCCATGGCTGGGACACTGCCCCATGCAGACAGCGGGACAGGGCTGTGGCAGCGTTGGAGTTGGTTGAGCCCCTGGGCCAGGGACAGCGGTCCCAGGGGTCTTGTCGCCTCCTGGGCTGATGCCTGAATCCCCCCACAGGAGCTGCACAACCTGGAGATGGAGCTGGGACAGGTCCCAGAACGCTGGAAGGAGACGTGGGACAAGGTCAAAGCTTCCCAGCGCACCGAGGCGCGGCAGGAGGGCAGCCGGGTAGGCTGGGGGCTGCGTGACGGGTGCCAGTGTCCGGGGGGGCTGAAGGTGGTTGGCTCTGCCCAAGGGTGCCCCGAGCCAAGTGGGTGCTTGCTCCTGCAGCCGGGGACCGAGGAGGGGTGCTGGTGCTCGGCCCCCGGGCTGGATGTGCCCGAGGGGCGCGGGGCCGCCCTCACGCTGTGCCCTCTGCTCCCCGCAGACCCCCAGCTCCCTGCTGATGTCCTCCGGCCTCTCCCACCACCGGCGCTCGCTGGGCGTCTACCTGCAGGAGAGCGGGGTGGGCTCAACCCTCAACCTCAGCCTCGACAGCGACACCAGCAGCACCTCCACCCCCTCCAGCGGGAAGCAGGGCGGCCGCAAGAGCACCAGCACGCTCTACAGCCAGTTCCAGATGTCAGAGAGCGAGAACAGGCAGGCGGGGGGCTCGGGGCGCCGGGGGCTGTCGGCGGTGCTGGGAGGGGGATCCCTCTCTGGGGAGGGGTGAAGGCATGTGGGTTCTGCAGAGCGTGGACCCCGATCGCTTCTCGGCCCCGCTGACGCTGGGGTGCCACAGACAAAACTGCCCTTTGGCCCCTCTCTCCTTTCCGCCCTAACGCACTGCCTGGCTCCTGCAGGTCCTATGAGGGGTCGCTGTACAAGAAAGGAGCCTTCATGAAACCATGGAAGCCTCGCTGGTTCGTGCTGGATAAAACCAAACATCAGGTACTGAGGGGCTGGGCACGGCGAGGGGCGGGTGGGCCCCGGCGTCTGTCCCTCCCTCCCTCCCTCCCTCCGTGAGCTCTGACCACGCGGGACCTCTCCCTGCAGCTGCGGTACTACGACAGCCGGATGGACACGGAGTGCAAAGGGGTCATCGACCTGGCCGAGGTGGAGTCCATCACCCCAGGAACCCCCACCATGGGGGCCCCCAAGACGGTGGACGAGAAAGCCTTCTTCGATGTGAGTGTGGCACAGACCTGCGCCTTAGGGAAAGGAGCTTGGCAGCCCGTGGCCCCGCCGCGGAGCCCAGCCGTTTGCTCCGGCAGCACCAGGCTGCGGGGGCTGCGGTGCTGCTGGCTCACCGGGTGCAGCCGCCCGGCCCCGCTCACCTCCTCTCTCCTCCCCTGCAGCTGAAGACGACAAAACGAGTTTACAATTTCTGCGCCCAGGATGTGCAGCTAGCCCAGCAGTGGATCGACCGCATCCAGAGCTGCTTGTCGGACGCGTGAGACTGGCTCAGAGGAGCCTCTATTCCAGGCACAGAGTCTCCCGGGCCCCAGCACGTGGAGCAGAGGCCGTGCCCAGGCTCACGTCCGAGCCAGGGCTGTGACTGACTGGAGCGGAGGAGATGGCCTTCCTTCCCATCTGCCATGGGTGTGCAGTGCTGGGGAGCCCGCGGCCACGCACCCCCAGGCGGCAGTGGGGGCAGGATCAGTATTTACACTATGGTAGGACTGTGTAGTGGAGGAATTCTTCGCGTTGAAGCAGGCTGGGGGTGCGGGCGGGAGCCTGTCCTGCTCTGACCTCCCAGGCCTGTCTGAGCCCTGTAATTACCGTGTGTCCTCTGTGCACCTCCCGCGCCGGCGGCCCCGCTCCAGCTCTCTGCGGCAGCAGCGGTGTTGTCACCCGGCTGGAGAGGGTGCACCTCGCTCCACCCCGCCCCATGCTGCTGGAGAAAGCGGGAGCTGCCTGCCTGCCTCGTCCTCCCCGCGGCTTGCATGTCTGCCAGAGCATCCACGGGGGAGAACCGGCCCTGCTCCCTCCTGACCTGGCCTAAGCGTGTCCAGGGCTTCGCTCCCGCCTTGCTGGATCCGAGGAGCTGCAGCTCAGGGTGCCGGTGCTCGTGGAGGTGACGCGCCTGAGCACGGGGACTGTCCCGCCCAGCCCGCATCCCACTGGCAGCAGCGGGCAGAGCGTCCCAGCCTTTGAGCCTCGGCCGTCCCAGACTTGCACAGGAACAGATGAGCACGGCCGCCGTCTGCCCGGGGACGGGGGTGGTTGTGGCTGCAGGCGCTGGGCTCCGTGCCTCAGGAGGGGACGTGGACGCGGCCACTCTGCTCCCAGCAGGCAGCTGCCTGCGTAGGCTGTGACGGGGGCTCCCTGTCCTGGCTGGGGCACAGGCTCTGCCTCCACCATCAGGCTTGCTGTGATGGGGGGGCATGTCACCTCATCCCTGGTGACGCCCGGGGCTGGGACACGGCCGGGCACCGTGGCGCTGGCAGGGGCCACCCCGTCTCTTTGCACAGGTCCCTGCGGGAAGGAGGGGGCAGCACCGCGGAGGGCACCGTGCTGCCCTCTCCTGCCCTCTCCTCCCCACCGCCTAGGGGCTCGGCTGTTCCCCCCGCTTGCGCTCTGCCCACGCTGTCAGGCCGAGCCTGCTGGCAGAGGGGTCTGGGCAGGAGCCCCCAGCCCTGCCGCGGCGCAGGTTTGCCCACCGCCCGCTGCCACCTCCCTGCTTGTTGCTGTCACAGTGTCAGTGCAAAGGGGGAATCTCGGTACAGAAACAGATCCTGCAGCACCTCATCCGCCCCCTGCGCTGGTGTGGCCGCGGGGGGTTCGGCCCCGCTCCAC